ACTACAACCTGTAACTGTGCGGATGCGGGCGTCTCGCAGCCCATCGAAGCCAACAGAAAAATCCTGGCAATCAGGAGGGGACGGGGCCGCCAGCTCCACTGATCGCCTCCCCCCGAGCGTGAGAGGGGAAGAGTAATGATCATGCTGGAAAATCATGGGTCCCCCACTGATGGGACTCGGGCTCGTAAATGCAACCGCTGGCCAAGGAGGAAGCTGAGAGGGAAAAAGAGGAAGAGGAAGGCCGTTCAAAACACCCATTGTCCTACCGTACGACACGCTGCGTAAGGAACGACGGAATTTCTGACCACGGGGAGCCTTGGCCACGAATGGGCTTCCTGAACTAAGCCAACGGAGCGGATCCAGAGCCGAAACCGCTCCTGAACCCAAAGTGGTCTTTAGCTTGACATATTGGCTGTACATGCGAGGAACTGGCGAACGGGAAAGAGCCGTGCACGGACGACAACAGAGAAGTGGCCGACCTATTGCCCCCCCTACCACCCCCACCAGGAGGCGCGGGCGGAGGGTGAGGCGGACGAGGAGGAGGAAGAGGAGGAGCAGGACAACGAGGAGGGGGAGGAGGAGGAAGAGGAGGAAGAGGAGGAGGAGGAGAGGGAGGAGGAGAGGGAGGAGGAGGAGGAGGAGGAGGAGGAGGAGGAGGAGGAGGAGGAGGAACAGGAGGAAGAGGAGGAGGGGGAAGAAGAAAAAGAGGAGGAAGAGGAGGAGGAGGAAACGGAAGCGTAGGAGGGGGATGTTTTCGACGCGAAAAACGGCCCGACCCGCTGCCCCATCAACAAAAACTGTATTCCTGACCCCGCGCGACGGACAACCTCCAAGCGGCGACCTCGGTGAGCCCGGCGTGCTTGGCAATGCGAACGGCAAGACGTTAAACGCACAAGACACGGAATTCTTGCGGAGAAAGGGAGGTTTTTCCCCATATCCTAAGATGGGGTTCTTGTTATTACTTGGACGCCTCCTACTCCCTCTCCTCCTTCCTCCTCCTCTTTCCTCCTCCCCTCCTGTCGGACTTACTCATACTCAGACTTGCTCATACTCAGACTTACTCATACACAGACTTACTCGTACTCAGACTTACTCATACTCAGACCTACTCATACTCAGACTTACTCACACTCAGACATACTCATACACAGACTTACTCATACACAGACTTACTCACACCCAGACGTACTCATACACAGACTCACTCATACCCAGACTTACTCATACACAGTATTAGTCATACTCAGACTTCGCTTGGAGAGCAGATTGTGAGGATGTCTCAGGCGGGGCGCTGGTTTCAGCACCCCTAAGGGGAGCCGCCAGGGGTGGTTGCACGGGCTCGTTCGCGGCCATTTTGTGGGGATGTCTCAGGCGGTTTGCTTGTTTCTGGGCCCAACATCCTTCGCTTGGAGAGCAGATTGTGAGGATGTCTCAGGCGGGGCGCTGATTTCAGCACCCCTAAGGGGAGCCGCCAGGGGTGGTTGCACGGGCTCGTTCGCGGCCATTTTGTGGGGATGTCTCAGGCGGTTTGCTTGTTTCTGGGCCCAACATCCTTCGCTTTCGGAGCAGATTTGGAGGATGTCTCGAGCGAGGCGCTCATTTTCACCCCCCAGGTGGGCCAGATTTTGAGGATGTCTCGATCGGTTTGCTTGTTTTGGTGGCCAGGCTCGTGGCCCTAAGGGGAGCCGCCAGGGGTGTTTGCACGGGCTCGTTCGCGGCCATTTTGTGGGGATGTCTCAGGCGGTTTGCTTGTTTCTGGGCCCAACATCCTTCGCTTTCGGAGCAGATTTGGAGGATGTCTCGAGCGAGGCGCTCATTTTCACCCCCCAGGTGGGCCAGATTTTGAGGATGTCTCGATCGGTTTGCTTGTTTTCGTGGCCAGGCTCGTGGCCCTAAGGGGAGCCGCCAGGGGTGGTTGCACGGGCTCGTTCGCGGCCATTTTGTGGGGATGTCTCAGGCGGTTTGCTTGTTTCTGGGCCCAACATCCTTCGCTTTCGGAGCAGATTTGGAGGATGTCTCGAGCGAGGCGCTCATTTTCACCCCCCAGGTGGGCCAGATTTTGAGGATGTCTCGATCGGTTTGCTTGTTTTGGTGGCCAGGCTCGTGGGCGCAGATTCTTCTCAGGATGCCACAGGAGGCTCCAACAGGCTCCAGGAGGCCCCAGGAGACCACATGAGGTCCCAGGAGGCATCAGGAGGCCACAGAAAAACTCAAGAGGCCACAGGATGTCCCAAGAGGCTCCAGGAGGCCCCAGGAAGCTCCAGAAGGCCTCAGGAAACCACAGGAGGCCCCAGGAGGCAACAGGAAGCGCCAGGAGGCCTCGGAAGGCAACAGGAGGCCCCGAGAGGCCCCAGGAGCAGGATGCCTCAGAAGGCAACAGGAGTGGCTCCAATCCCATGTGTTTTACGTATGCTCCTATCGAGTGGGCCTTACCTGGAGCACGATTATTTGATGTTCTACGTATGTTTCTATAGATGGTCCTTCTCCGGTGTACACAATCCTAAATGTTTTACCCATGTTCCTATATATTGGGCCTCTCCTGGGGCACGAGTCCTTGGTGTTTTACGAGTGTTCCTATAGATTGCCCTTCTCCTGTGGCTCTAATCCCATCTTGGCTCAAGCGTTCGCATGCCGCGCCGCCTCGGCCTCCCGCCTCGGGATGGCTGGCCTGCGCGCGGCTAGAGGGGCTGGCACGGCCGCCGTCGACCTCGCGCTGCTGGTGCGCGCGGCGGTCCGCGGCGCTGTGGACGGCGGCGCGCCGCGCCGCACGGTCGCCGCAGTGGCGCGCTCTGCAGTCTCGGCCGCCGCGTTCGCGGCGCGGCCGACGACGCAAGCGCACGCTGCAGACGACCGACGTGACGATCTTGCTGCTGATGCCGTTGGCGATGCCGCTCGCCCAGCTGGTGCCTCCGCGGAGGCGAAGCGGGCGCGGCGTCGGCGTCGCCGCGCGGCGCGCGCGGCTCGCAAACAGCAGGAGATGACCGACGGCGACGCGACGACGGCTGGTGCTGGCAGTACTGGTGTGGGCCTGGGGCTCGCCCTGCTGC